AAGTATTTTTGTGTCATCAGTTAGATCTATTATTAAAATTTTTGTGTTTGTTGTTATCAGTCGTTATTTGTTGTTATATCAACAAAGATAACCCCCCCCCCCCACCCCACAACCTATCATTAGTTTCAATCACAGTGGCTTTCCTAATCTACTGCTTAGCCCAATGCAAGGCGGGGAGGGTGCGGTGATACAATATGCTGTGAATGACTTTTATGTCATCGCTGGAAGCTTGACTCTTTGAATCGAGCCGTCTGCCGCCCCATCCCACCCTACCCGCCGGTACAGTGGTGATCGACGAATCAATTTAACTAAACGAATTTTATACTTGAGATAATTCTAAATTTGGGAACGAGTAAATGATTGTAAATGACGTTGGAAATAGCAAAGCATGAACAGATTCTTGTTCTCCTTTCGTATCCTTTTTCACTGGCGATCCACACCCACATTGATAGCGTATAGGCCTTTAGGTGTAACAGACGTAAATAGGGTTAAACAGATCCGGTTATATCCGGATTTGTTCAATCGTGTGCACAAACAGATCCAGATTTTTCCAAGCGACTCCCACCTCCCACCCACTTCCCAGGACAAGTGACTTGTAGGCCCAGCTTGGCTAACCCGAGGCGAACTCGCGTTGCTGAAATCAACTTCCGGTTGAAATCGGGAATGTTTTGTTTGTGCAATGTAGGATCAAGAAGTGAACTGTTACCAGATTCTAGATCTTGTTGCTATTTAAATTACACTAATACTGCCTTGTGTTACTACCATCTTTGTCTTTTATATTTCAAAGACATAATATCTCAGAAATATTGATTTCATTCACATCAGTCAGAGATCGTGTTCACGAGCAGGAATCACTCGGGGCTGGCAGTTTACTGAGCAGACAGGAACTGACTGCTGAATAGCCTACTGAACAGGAGGCTTGTGGAGAGAGTGAGTGAAACTGAAATGTCTGATGTGAATTCGTGTGAAGCATTGGATTTTGGTATTTCTAGATCTTTGATCTAGAATCTAGATTAGGCTAGATTTATATATCTTCTGGGGCAACCTCTATTCTCACCCGGGGTGAGAATAGTGCAGGCGAGTCTTTTGGCTATTCAAGAAGACTTGCTCTTCTATTGTTGAGAAAACTCAATAAAGTAGTTCAAGCCATTGTCATACTTTACTTTTCCGATCCAGCGGCCATTTGGGTTCTAGCCCTTCGGTCTGGATGTCAAGCCATTGTCATAAATTTTAACTAATAAAGGCTTGCTGCTGCTGCCACTACTGTTGTTGTTGTTGTTGCTGTTGTTGTTGTTGTTGTAGCTGCTTTCCCTTACCCTCCAAACGTCTTATTCTTCTACTTTGCTGTGTTCTGCTTCTTCTACTTCTGGTAAATTTTCAACTTTGTGACTGCTGTTTTTGCCCGAAATGACTCCCTAGCACTGAAATGACAGCAGCCGGTAGTATGGAAGCGATACAACCTTCCTCCTCTGCATCCTCTTTCTTCTTCTTTCTCCTCCTCCTCCTCCTCCTTTTCCTCTTTCTCCTGATCCTCTTCCACTTCCCCCTCCTCCTCCTCCTCCTCCTCCCCCTCCTCCTCCTCCTGCTCCTGATGATGATGCTGATACATGTGCCACAAAAGATGTGACAATTGAAACAACAGATCAAATACGTCAACCTCAAAGTTGAGGGTTGGTCGGTTTTGTCCGAAAAATTTTATGCGACATAGTCGTCCAACCCACACAGTTTCATAAAAGCGATTTTTTAAGGAAAAAAGGTCTACAGTTTTTTGGTAAAGTGTTTTTATAGGTGTTTGAAGCATTTATCTGTCGTTAGGCTCCTTTGTTTTAAAATAAAACAGTTTTTCTCTTCTTATGTAAAATTTGTCCCGCTGGGGTTAGTCGGTTTTATCACAAGGCCGACGTTGTAATGCTTTGTATCAGTAGGTTTTGACAAGATTTTTTTTGCGTTCCTTTGTACCTTAGAAAATTATAAAAGGTAGCCATTTAATAAAATTGGGTTGGCTTGGAAAAAGGTCATATAATATACTTGGGGGGAAAATGTTTTGAGGAAGTTTATCTCAATATTTAGTGTGTACTTGCTCAAGGTGTATACATATTGAATGCAGCAATGATTTTACTTGACAGTATTCTTGCTGGTCTGAGAGAGTATGGTTTTTTAAATATTCATTGGCTATATTAATTCTCAAATTTGATTTCCTCAATAACAATCAAAAAGTCTTTGTGAATGGGGATTATGAGTTCAAGCTCTTGACTTGTTGAATTGGTTTTCAAGTGTAACAACATTGCAAGGTCATAGTTTGAAAAGAAATGAGATGTTTTGGTTGCATTCTGAGATTATAATAATTTTTATTTTGTTCTTTGGACAACTAAAAGTATCTGTAAGTTTTTATTTTCAGGTCACGAAATAAAGGATAAACATGCCTTCAGAATCAGCGACTGGATTCATTGGGTCAATGGTGTCCATTGACTGTGGAAAACTTGGAACATACCAAGGGCATGTCCAGAGGGTTGATGCAGACATGAACACTCTCACCATTACTCATGCTTTTCATAATGGGCTAAGGTGTGACCAGTCAGAAGTAAACTTAAGGTAAATTCTGATACCTTTAAAAGGCTTACAGCCAGTAGGGTTAACCATTCTGCTATGATGAGAGTTGTTGAATTAGATATTGATGCTCTTTTTCTTTTTGCGTGTGTGTGTGTGCTTTTTATAAATTGAGATTAGAGACCTTGTTTTATCTTTTGATTAAAATGGAAGTATTAAAGCAGCCTTTGTAACAAGATAAACTTTCTTTATGGCAAGGCCCACTGGTGCACATTATCTCTCTTTTACTCCATCACTGAATTAAAAGGAGCTAAGCCACTTTTAAGACAAATATAAAACTTGTATTACGGGACTGCATGAACAAGGCTTAAACCCCTGACCTCTGGCATGAGATATTTGGTGACTTATTAATGAGCCAAAACCATTCTCATCATATTGTCGTGTAAACACCATTTTGATCTACTTTTTGTTTCTAACTATTAGCAGGAAGCTACCAGAACCTTTTTGGATCTTTATCAAGCGTATATTGTCGTGGGGGGAAAACCCAACACGGTGCTTGAAGCGTTTTGTGGAAAAAAAAAATCTAATCCCTATTATCAGTACTGTTTATGGTCTGGAATTTCTATAGTTTGCTATGCTCATAGTGGCCACCAAAGACTACTTACATAAACCAGCAAAGAAAGTTTGTGGTACGGTAGTAGTTTTACCTGGGATGTTTTCGGGTGTTTCTCTTAAACGGACTAAATGTGCATATAACACATTTTTTAAATGAAACTCTTCATGTATATATAGTGGGATACCCTCTGTCTTGACTGGTCATTGTGTCGTAAAGCCGTGACATGTGGCAGCAAGATTTTTTAGATCAACAGTTTGTAAACAGAGGCAGCCAAAGAAGCAAGAAAACCAAGGCAGTCACGTCCTGACATTGACATCACCCAACAGACTTTATGTGCTCTGTTTGTGGAAAATTCTTGTAGAAAAGAGTATTAGTATTAAAAGGTCACAAGTGAAGCAATAAAAAGGTTTAACCAACAAACTTATGTTTAGGCTGACTAGTGCTCTACTTTAGGAAAGAGAAAGTCGCTGATTGGTGAGTTGCTGTGTTTGTGATAATTACAGTTTGCTGGCAATTTTTTTCTGTTTCTTTTCTTTCTTTACTGTGCCAGCTTCCTGTAATTTCTTTTCTTCTTTGGATTTTAGCAGTCATCGTCAGTTTATGATGGACAAAGTGTTATTATTATAATATTATTGTTTTTATTATTATTGAAAGGAATGCAATAAAATTAACTTTTTATGTGTATTTCTTGTGTTGTTTCTCAGCTCCACAACAATTCTGGATATCCAGATCATCCATTCCTCTACTGTGGCAAAAGAAATCATTGAGAGAAAGACAACCCCTTCCAAAATGACTAAAGAGATTGATGAGGTGACAAAACCCAGGTGTTCATCTCCAGTGAAAATCATCAAAGCAGCTTCTAAAGCTCGTTCTGCAGGCTTTACACCGTCATCCTCTGCCAATTCGAACTCGAATACTGAGAAGGGGCAGGGGAAAAGTTCTCATGGGTGCAGAAGAAAATTGTCACCACCCGATAGCCCGTCAGCTCACCTGTTGAAGGGAAACAACTCTGTGGGGCCTCGCCCACGAATAAGTAAAAGTGCCAACAGGGACGGCTATGATTCTAACGACCAGGGAGTCGGACAGGGTAATGGACAGGGTGAGTGGTACTCTGGTATAGTTAGAGCTATTGTACAACCCTAGTGTGGAGACATCCTCCACAATATGTCCCCCTTGTTTCAGCAAATAGTTTTATTTTTATCTGACAACTGGTACTTTAGAAATGTATGATTTAATACATTTTTTAGGGTCTGAGAATGGGAGTCCTTTTTGTGTTGGAAAATATGTGTCCTTTGTTTTTTAGTATTGTCAATGCTGAATAAAAGTTATGAACTCCCGAAACAGGATTTGTGAATAATAATGAAAATGAAGCCATTCATCAATTGGAGAGACCTTTACTAAACAGGGATGTAAATATTTCAAATTTCCTTTTATTTAAGGTTTTCTGTAATGAAATTTTAAAAAAGTAATAAAAAGAGAGGGTTAGGGGCTGAATCAATAAAAATGGAAAGAAAAAAAGTGTCTCCCATATAATCTCTAACTGAATTGCATGATGCATTTGTGTCCGAGTCTTGCACATTATTACAATTACCTTTGCAGTCCTTAATCACACACTAAGTTGGCACAGAAACACACACCCACAGTTTTTTTTCTCATCACACACATAATGTGCGATTCTGACTATCATGACAACAACTTCGTAAGAACAAATCTAAAGTACAATGATTTTATAGGTTTCCTAGGATTTCTTTAGGAAAAAACTGGAAAGCTGTTGAGAAATGTATGGTGCTAATCGTCAAAGTTAATGCTAATCTTTGCCAGGTTGCCTATTGAATGCATTGGATATCAAAGCTGGTTCAGAGTTCCTCTGGAAAAGTATTAAAAATGTTTTCTAATGTGCTTGTGTCCAAATGCATTGAAGTAGTGTAATATGTTTAGAAAGTCTTTGAAAATACTGTCATCCAATAACACTGCCGTATGAAGGTCTTGCTGTAGACCTTATGGTCTTGTCTGAGAAGAGAGCAGTACTACCAAGATCTTACTTCTACCTGTTGTGCAAAAATATCATGAAATTTGGGACTTTTGAAGCAACTACATTAGGAAAATAAAGAAAGATAGGATAGTGTGATGCTGTGTCTGCAATTAGCAGCATATCGGAGATAAGTATCGAAGTGATGGTTCGCCTTGCTGTACTTTTGCACTTGCGACATCTTGCAATGTTTCAAAGATCACGCAACAATGAAAGTGCACAAAAGAGGTCAGTTATGAATTTAATATTGTTTTTTAAAAAAAAGTGGGGAGCATTCTATGTTGGTATCTCATGTTTTTCACAATCTTTTTTATTTAATTGAAAACTTGTTTGAATCTTCCAGTGTTAGGCCTTGTAGTATATGGGGTACCGATAATGAAATTTAAATTCCTATTTCATAATAACAGGGACAACCTCTTGCTTTCTTGACTTCGAAATGAGTTAAAGGGGTAAGACTACCCCAATTATTAAGGTTTTGGAATCTAATGTCAAGTTGTTTTTTTGGGGAAATCAGCTTGACAATCAATATTATTTTTGCACAGGAGTTCATGGAGCAAAGCAGCGTGGTCACCAAGGCCAGGACAGTCAGTACAGAAAACACAGTGCCAGCAAAAAGATGGAGAGAGGTGGAAAAAAGGGTGCCAATTCCTGGAATAGTGATTGCTTTAGTGCACCTGCAGAGTCATTCTTGCAGGACTTTGACTTTGAATCCAATCTTGCCTTGTTCAATAAAAAGGCTGTCTTCCAGGAAATTGAAAATGACTTTCCCGATTTGAGTCTAGAATCGGATCCCAGGGAACAAAAATACCGACATGATGAGAACATTCTGCAGCCTGGGGAGAGCACAAATGCCGGTCCTGCTACAATTCAGCAGATACAGGTTCCTGGAGCTGAGTCACAGTTGTATTACACAGGTAATGTTTCGCTTTGTACATTATTAAAATCTTTTGGGTTTTTTTTTTTACTTAATGGTTTAGTGTTTGGAACAGATTATTTTACTCTTCCCTAAACTGACTGTTGGTGGTTTTTCTAATTAATTCCTTATGAAAATGAAAATGCCACTTTCATTTATTTCCATAAAGAGGAATGAGTCACAAACCATGTAATCCTTCAATATGAAATAATTCACAAGTTATTCACACTACATGATACATTTGTCAAACTACTACGGCAAACAATTTTACAAGGTCATCATAGCCTGGGTTGTTTTGTCTTGTACGTACTCACTCACCAATGACTGTTAACTAACGGTGAAAGGGATGTTGCTGATATTGCTCTTCAGGGTGAGCCTTGGTCCACAGTCACTAGTATGTAGTCCACTGACCCTTTTACTTTTATTAAATATCCTATCTACGTGCTACATCTACCTGGGGGTTTTTTTAAGTGGATTTTTTTTTTCTTTTTTTGGTACTGAAAATGCCTTCTTGTTCCTACGAAAATCGAACTGTGCCAGTAGTGTTTTTTGGGAACTTGTTGAGCCCCAACATTTCAGTTGTGAGAAAAGATAAAGTAAGAGTCAGTTCAATTAAAATGCATAGTAAAATTATTTTTTCTCCTTGCACAGTTTAGTATGCATGCAAGTATTTTTATGGTAAATGATGGGTTGGTTATGATCTTTTTGGGGGGGGGTTTACTTTTTAACCTGATGTTACTGGTGGAATCTTGTCTCATTCTGATGGTGAACATTGTCAAATGCCACAACATTATGAATCAAGGTCATCGAAAGGGGCTTGAAAAATATGATGAAACTTAATAATTTGGTTGCCTTAAATTGTAAAATTCAGGATGTGACATATTTGAAAAGCAAAGGTTTTTGAGCATTTTTGCAGCTAGGAATACGTTCTTGAGCCTCTTACTAGTTTGCCACTGTGGCCACATTTTTATCCTTGTGTATAGTTTCTTTACCATGGCTTTGTTATGATCATTCTAAGAGCTTTGAATTTTTTAATGAACTTTTGGTATATGTTATTTGTACACGATCAGACTCATAAAAAGGATCGCAGCTATCAAGCTAAGAGACAGGATTTTTCATGTTTTCATTCTTATTTACAGACAATGGTCTGGTCGTCCCGTCTATCAGCTTTGAGCTGCGAGAACAAGTGTGTGATACAGCTGCACATCATGGCCTTACTCGCTCACGGCAAATTGAAGCATTTGGCCGAGCAGCCACTGAGATGGTCATACACCTCATAGGGGGCAGCCACAGGTATGTTTTGGGATGGAATAACTTGAGGATTTTGTATTTGTACACATGGGCTAGTCAGTTCACTCGCTTCTGTTCTGTTCATTCATTATTCTTGAGTCACCTTTTTGCAGTCTGAGGCTATTGAGAATGAAGGAGTGGTCAGCACAAGTATTGGCCATAGTTTATGTGTTGAAAGAGTGGCATTAATGTTATTTCCTTGTGTTAATGACTAAATAATTGAAAATGAGTTAGTCAATAAATTAATGTTATGAATTGTGGATCTTACTGTCTTCAGAATTCATCCAAAGAATGACCACCAGATGCCAGTTGTGGTGGTGTTGTGTGGACCCCACGACCAAGGTACCCTGGGTGTGTGCTGTGCACGGATACTTGCCTCTCATGGGGTACAGGTATGTACTCGTTTTGCATACTATCTGTAGTGCATCATTGTCATTATGATTCTGAATGTTTCAAGTTTCATCTGAATATCTATAGTGCAGACTGCTCTGGTTTTTGGTTTTCAAGAAACCCATGATTCATTTTTAGTGCATCTAATTGTTTAATTTAGACGTAATTCTTTCTCTACTGACTTCTAATACATTGCTTCTGTTGTCACTGGTGGAATCGTACACTCATTAGGTGACTGGTTGGCTTTACAGCTCCTCTCAAGTGACAGACTGTTGCTCAGTCTTTGCAAGTTGTATAATCTTTGCGCTTTCTGGCACCTTAATTCAATATGAAATAATATAAATTGCATACTTTGGGAGAAAGTTCAAATGATACATGTGATAATGTATACATTATAGTCTTTTCTTCTTTTTCAAACTTTTATTATTTTTATAAATTAATTCCAACTGTTGAATATTTTACCACTTTTCAAAGTGCCAACAAGGCTGAATAATCCATCTAGATCTACTGTAATTCATGGTCTTTTGGCTGAATTGGTGAGGGCTTCTGTAGATGAGGGGTAATAAACTGACAGACTGATTAGATTCAGTGCGTCTAATGGTAGAATGTTTATGAATGACTGTGCTCAAACATGCACATGGACTATTTACTTTGTTTCCTTTCTGGTTCCCTTTCCTTCCTTTGCCCTTCATCTTTACACAAACCTCTTACTGATTAATCAATTTTCGAAATGATCTCATGTCTAATGAGTGTTCCAAGTCGTACAAAATCAAACAAAACATACTTGACAAATAAGTTATTGAATTTCAATTTTGTTTTTCTTCTTTTAGGTCACAGTAATGCTCCCCAGTTCAAGTCATGTTCCCCAGTCCCTGACTGATGAACTTAATTTATACAAACTCAGCCGCTGCCCCTTAGTAGACACCACCAAAGGTAAAGGTTGGTGGCTGTGTTCAGTCACACATTTTTTGGGGGGGGAGGGAAAACATTTACCCCTGACATTGTTAACTCACAAGTATGAAACATGTGACTTTGTCTTTCTGGTCGAATAAGTGAAGTTGACGGTGTGTGATTTTAAAGAATCAAATCCTATACCTTAAACACAAGGACTAAAAATTCCACTGCCTGAATATTACACTAATATCTGGACCACTTTTGGGGGGGTGGGGGTGGGTTGGTTGTTGTTTTACCATGATTGAATGTTGCATCCAGCTGATGATAAAGCAAAAACAATGTCGAGGGTAAATGATTACTTTCCAAAATTGAGGACTGAACTGTAGGAAAGTTTTCAGTTTCTTCTTTGTCTCTCAGTCGAGGCAGTGTAAGGTGAAAGTTGTCTCAGTCGTTCATTTTGTCTTTATGGATATTGCCAAAGATAAAAACTTGTTTATAAACTGTGTGTGTGCCTGGTGAAAAGCAAATTCATGGTCAAATAGAGCTAGAAATCTTGCACTGACTTTTCTTTGCTCACAAAGTGTTTTAGAGTATGTGTACCGGTATGTGAGTGCTAAGCCTCCCGTCCTTTAATTACTGTGTCAATGTATTTGAGAGCACTACACACCATGAGAAATGACTCTTGCTGATCTAAATTTTGATTTATGGTGTGAAGAGGTTGATTTTTGTGACTGACCTGTAGAAATTGTTGTCAACAACGTTGCTAGAAATTTTGAAGAATGGCTTTGCTGTTTTGCTATACTCATTAAAAGTAACGGGTATGAATGCTCAAAATCTGTGATCCTGCACTGCTGTTTTGGTAAATTCGTGAGCCATTTCCAGCTCGAGGAGAAAGTTTTGGCCATGCAGAGGGATGGGGTTTGTTTTTATGAATGTCTTAGAAACTCTCTACAATGTAGGCTCAGACAGCAAACAGCAAACGTTCTCACACAATTATTTCGTTATTACACCAGATGACTTGTGTCGACAAACGTCTTAAAAAATATGGGGGACGGAAAATTGCGCAGGTTTTATCCTGTTATGTAACGGATTACCCAATCCCTTACTATGTACGGTAAATTGTGCAGGTTTTTGAGTGTGGTGTCGATTATGAGGTAGCTGTGGTCGAATTGGAGTCCCGACCTCGACTATGTTTAGCTGACTGAGAGTTCACTGATTCGGTGATTTTGTCTCAGAAGATTTCAAGAACCAGAAATTGAGTACATGTTATATTAGCAGCCTTGTATAAATATATGTGTATGCCCGATGCAAATGAGTCAAGCTCAAAAAGAAACTTTAAATGGAATCGTGACAGAGAAAGGACGAAAAGGGCTCCAACACAGAGGTTTTCACTACTGACTGGCAAGAGAAGCACACGGTGGAGGTTCACAAGAAAAGCTTGTACTGCTGGTATCACAACGGTGATGAAATTATGACAGTTTTGATTTGGCTAACAGAAGAGGTCTACTACTTAAGCTTATACTTGAAGAATTTGAAGTCGGTACCATGTCAAATACCTGTGCAACCTAGGAAATATTCGATACAAAGATCCCTGCACAATTTTCCAACAGGTTTGGGAAAACTCCTTTGAACTTTTTAACAATTTAGAAACCTGCGCAATTTTCTGCTGCCCAAAAATACAGCTTTTACATGAATAAAGATAAATCCTTGTAAATGTTGGTAGATAAATGGCTAAAGAATAATTTTCTAATGGAACTCAATTTAAAAAAACAACAACAATTTTTTACCTTTATTATTGTGTAACTCAGTTCAAGCAAAATGCGTGTTGTGGTACCTTTTTCCAGGCATGCACATATTTAACTTCGTGTTTAGTAAATGGTATTGAAGGCAATCTCCATGTCTTCAGGTGTGGAATGAAGCTTTTTTTTGGTTTTTATCTCAATTTTCTGTTATGTTCAAGTTAAAGATGTCACCTACTGGGGAAATAAATACAATTTCCTCTTGTTTTTCAATTGTCTTGTAGAAATAAGCAAATAATAATTCTTTATGTTTGATGGCTTTGTCCAGGATTACCAGGCACTATTGACCTTATTGTGAATGCTTTGGATGACCCAGTCCAGCCAGCATTGAGCATCCAGTCATGGTATCAGGAGGTTGTCAGCTGGATCAGCAACAGCGATATCCGTGCTCAGATTCTGGCTCTGGATCCACCATCTCAAGGGCCTGGAATTTCAGCAAAGTAAGAATACTTCTTTGGTCTTTGAAAGAAGAAATAAAGTATCAGCAAGGTTTTGAATATGATTAGAAATATTTTCGGTGACCTGTCAAATTTTGGGTAAGTCATCGTAGATAAATTTTATCTTAAAGCTGCTCTAAAATTGGGTTCCATGCTGATATTATCCATTGCATTTCATGAACATTTTATGAAAGAGAAAACGGGCTTGTCATTTTTTTCTACTGGTGTCTTCTAGAACTGCAGTTAGATGAGTTTTGTTTCTTCCAGGATGTTATTGAACCTTGGTCTGGGAGTTTTTATGGCTCTGCAACCACACTAAGACAGTAAATTTCAATGAACTGAGGGTGGATTATGAGTAATGTGAGTATTCACTTAGAAACGTACAAGACTAATAGCACATATGGATTTGACTTAAACTGCAATGTTCCTTGTTTCAGGTGGAGCTTGTGCAAGGTCTTGCCACTGTGCCACGTCTCGCCGTCGTGCGGTAACCTGTACCTGTGTGACCTCAGCATTCCTGCCACCATCTACAGTCATGTGGGGATCAAGTATAAATCTCCCTTCGGATCCAAATTTGTCATTCCTTTGCATTTACAGGCTTAGTGAGGGATGAGGCTGCAATTTGCCTTGTATATATATCGAAAGGATCTGTCTATGATTGTAAAAAAATTTTCTGTTGTCTGCTGATTCCAGTATTGTAGTGCTTGTCCTGGTTTTAGTGCAAGTGACTACTGTCTCGTAGAAGGCGCTGCAGGAAGCTACGTTCCCTTCGCTGCTTGGTTGATGACGCGCTTCACCATGACCTGTGATGATTTGGTTAGGGTGAGTTGACTCTTGTGGCTTCAAACATGGATGGGACTTGCATATATTCACCAGCTGCAGAACTACATCAACTAGATGTCAACGTATGAATACGATGCACTCTAGGAAGGTGCTGAATTGTATATTTATGGTTTCATTGGATGATTTTTGTTACTGTGAAACTACTGGGATGTGAGATATGTTCTGGTGCTCGTGAAGAAAAGGTGACCTTGAAACAGCTCTGTGACTAAAATTTCTTTGAAGCTGATATGACTCGTGACTTTAATTGCGCATGATGCCCTTGGCTCCTTTTTGAATGGAGAAGTTAACACAGTTTTAATATCTGAGAAGAGGACAGGGTAAGTATTGCTAAACCATACTGCCGCTGATCTTCTTCGTTAGCATTGGTTGAAGTTTTCAGGAATCGGATACCCTCTTTTAGTCAGCGAACGTCACTCATTGCCTGATGTTTAGTCCGCTGTCTTTAACGGGGCCCTGTTTCCATGGCCTGTTCACTACTGACGTAGTTATTACATGGCCTTTGAATCTGATGTGCACAAAACAGAATCGGCTGAATGACGTATTTTGGTACTGCGCTGAAAAGACGAGCTTTAGCTAGCAATGTTTTGTGGTTCCCTTGATGCCAATGCTGTTCCTGTTGTTCGACCACAATGTTGTTTCATCTTTATGCTCAAGGCTCGTCACTGGATGTGGATCCATTTTGTTGATGCTGTGTGAGCTTTACGAAAAGAACTAACAGGGACACACAGTGTTTGCATGGAATTCTCAGGGGCCATAACTCTAGTACACCCGCTCCAAAGCAGTGGGACCAGCTGGAGGAATTTTCTTTAGACAAAGCGAAGGGCTGCAAATGGTGCTTGGAGCTTAACCACTCATCGGCTGCTTTGATGTTCATAGAGTGTACTTTCTGTGAGGAGAACACTGCGGCTTCAAGTCAGAAGTGCTGGGTTTGGGCAACACGGGTATGTGTGTTGTCTGTGTGTAGAGTGCACCTGTGCAGATCTGAGCTTTTTGCCAGTAGATCTCTTTTTTAAAGTTTTCTGGCCAAGAATCAAAAGGTTCCTCCTGTTATCATTGTATTATTTCTAACCCTTGGCAAATTGTTGTTCACTCTGTGAATTCTTGGAAAAAGAATTCAACTGTGTGTTGTTCTGTGATCTGATGCAGAGTGCCTTGAATGTGGTTGATGTGTATTTAAGGGGATTGGGTTGGTGGTAGATTATTTTGTAACGAGTGATGATTATGCTAAAAGGGATTTTAAAAAATTATTTTGATGCTGTGGGTGGATTTGAATATTTAAATGGCATTGTTACGATTTGAAGGGATCCTTGCATAGAGTGTTTAAAAATGCTAGTTTGAGGAGACACAGTGACGCAAATAGGCAAATAATTTCCTTCTAAATTTCACTAACATTTTGACTGGCGTGTTTCATGTGATTTGATAGATCTGGTTTACAAATATGGACAAAGAAGTAAATTCGTATGGAAACATTAAATGTAAATATCATTTGTAAATGTGTGTCGAGATCAGTGAGTTTGTATTGGATTTGTCTGGGTTTAATATAAGCATTCTTTTCTGTAATGTTCATCACTTGTGACACATTTGCTATTTGCATATATAATGATTTGATTCGTTTTACTCTTGATGGTTGTTAAATGTAAATGGGATTTTATATTCAAATGTTTCAAATGTAAAGGTTTTTGTTAAGGGGGAGAAAATGACAGGGCTCAAACTTCTTTATAAAGATAAGACCATGCACATGTTTTTGGTCAGTATGTAAAATAGATTAACTCACAAATTTTACCCCTCTTCTCCATGTTTACTACCGTTCATTTGTTAATAGCCATTTATATGAACAAAAAATGTAGTAGGCCAACCGCTAAGAATAGTAAGGCTCATGTAGATCTTCGTAAATTTGTAGAATATTTGAGACCTATTGCTTATTCTTGTTGAATTTTTTAAACCTTCCATTTATGGTAGTGTACTGGTATTTATGGTGTAGCAGTTAGGCACTTCACCATGGCATGTAAAAGATTCGAGTTCGATTCCCGCCTGAGGAGAATTTTTATAGAGTAACTTGGTCTTTCTGCTGAGACTTTGTTTCCTTCTCATCCGGAGTTGGCCCTGACCAGCAGGGTCGAAGCTGACCTTCTAAACAGTCTAAATTGTGTCGATGGAGGGGGTGGGCAAACACTAAAAATTCAGTTTAAAAATTTGCTTATGGGAATGTGACCCCAAGATTTTGTGGTCTGTAGAATTCTTCTGGCCGATGAGGTGTGAGCATTACTCATTTTAATTAAATGCTGCTGTCATATCGATTTAAAATTGCAAACTTTTCTTTATTGTACTATTTGCTCATCAAGCAGATGCTAAGTGTGAAATATTTCATCCTTTGCAATGTTCGTCTTGGAGAAACTTGGTAATTCACTTTTATTTGACTTTGGTACTGCTCAGCCTGGGTCTTAATGAAGATTTGGTTTGTTGTTCTTTCCACTGAAAATAATGTACTTTTTCAGATGGCTGTGTTTGCTTAAAAAGTAGAGAGACCGTCAATCATCTGCAACTCCAGTAACCTGGCATGATCTCAGGAATCGATTGAGCTGCTTCTGTTGAAAGAAAACCCCACTTATTCTCTTGACTTGAAACTTGATGCTAAACGTTTTTGCTGCAGAGTGGGTTGCTTTTACTCTGCATGTTTCCATCTGGAGTGTCTGGAGGATATTTTAAAATGATAAGTTGAAAAATGTTTGAAAATTCAGCTTAAGTATTCTTCTTGTACTGGGTTTTATAACAAGTTAAAAGAAAAACTTGTAGCCTGTGTGCTCTGTACTTTTTCAAATGCTATTTGCAGGTTTGAAGCTACTTCAGTTGGGACATTAATGCCATGCGCCCCCCCCCCTCCCCGTATCCTATTGGAATGGTGCAACTGAGCTCTTGCATTTTGACAGCTCTGCTAGATGTACACCACCACATGCAGAGGCAAGCATTCGCTACCCAGGAGATTAAAGGCAATGGCACTCAGATGTTTACTTGCTTGGGTTGATGAAAATTACTTTGCCGTGGCGCCTTGGTTTGGATCATAATGACGGATACTTGTGAAGGATAGGTACCATCTGTTGCCCGAGAAATCTGATTTACCTGGATGTGTATTTTCTTAATGGGTTCACTGAAGTCAGAAAGTTGCTTTTAGAACATTCTTAATGATCACAGTTGACCTTCATTCCTGATGGAGTATGATGATTTTTATATGAAAGAATTAATAATGCAATTATTTTGATTGCCTGTGGTGTTCATGATTTTTGAAGAAAATGTTTTGAAGAGCTGAACAGAAGATTGTTATGTGCATTATAACACTGGACATATGTCCCTTGTAGAACCTCAGGGTTTCTGGTGGCTTTGGTAATATGTGGAGGAATTTATCAGATTCAGTGTCCAGTGTTAGAGCAGTAACTGCTTTTTTATATTATGTGGATGATGTGTTTTAAAAAGAATTCACCGACACCCCCCAACTCCGCTATGAATCTTTGTGCCGACTTTTGCCATGAAATGAGTAGATATAACAAAAGGTTTTCTTGAGGTCACAATGGTACTGTGAGTATCATGTTATATGTATTTCTTATGTACAAGCCTATACTGGCTACTTTGATTCTGAAGTTTGGTTAATGTCATCATTCATGTGACCATAATAGTTTATCCTTTGTCGGCAACGTTTCTTGTGAAAAAATTATTCCATTAATCGGCATGAGTACTGAATAATTATTTAAGGTTTATAGTTTGAATAGATATACCAAATGTTCACGGTGTTGATTTTTTTCTTCGAGATATTGCTGAGATCAAAAAAGTAAAAATAAATGTTTTCGGATTGATTGTTTTATCAGTCACATTTTTTTTACCCTGCGATTAGTTCCAGATTTTGTCCCATATAAAACTACACAGAGTACTTAAGGGTCTTCTTAAGCTGAATATGTACTGTAAGGAATTGGGCACAAGCAAATTTTATTGCGTGGGTAATAGTGGTGCACTGGGAGCTAGTGTTGAAAATATGCTTCAAAGTTTTTTGTGTTCTATGTCATCCACAAGTCTCAGCTGAAGACAGCCTAAAGGCATTGATTTTTTTCTTAAGGGGAGGAACGACCCTTGATTTTGCAGATTTTGGGTCAGGCTATTCACATTGAGGTGTTGGCTGATTATTGAAGGTCAACCTGTTCTTTGTCTAAAACTAGCAAGGAAACTTTCTTCTTCTTTTTCCTCGTTCTCGATAGCAAGGAAACAATTGAGAAAGTCTTTATTCTCCTCGTGAATTGCCTTTGAAAACATGAGGGTAGGTTAATATAGGGAATTTTCACAATAATTGTCGTTTTTCCCCAAAATGCCTTTTTTTGTGCAGTTTTTTCCCCTACTCCTTCCTTAGTTTTCATCCTTTTGACATGACACTTTCAGGAAACATAGATGGCAGGGCTGCCATCAATGCAACAGAGAGATGTTAGCGAAAAAAATAACACTTTTCCATTGGCAAGCGATTATGCAACCGAAATATAGAAAAGTTTTGTTTTTTTTGCACTTTGGGAAAATTCTCATTTTTTTTTTTCTTTTGCACTTATTGAAAAAACTCACTGTTACGCTGATAGGGTCTGGTTCAGGTATACTCTCATGATATTTGGTCAAATTTGGTCAGTAAATAAGAAAGCGTTAGGGATTTAAAATTCATGGGGGTTTTTTTTGTTTGGTTTTTTTCCAAGACGGTGGCCGTTTCCATAGCAACTGCTGTAGCTATACCAAAATAAAATTGCACATCAAAAGATTTTACTATGCCTAACTTATATGAGTACTTAGATTTGATCTTGGGCAACAAACATAGAAAATTGTCCTCAAGGGTCGCTCCTCCCGTTAAGATGTGTAGATCTACATGTGTATTTACCTCTCGACAACCAAGTCTTATGGACAGGGCAATTTCTTGTGTGCATGTAGAGGCTTCAGTCATATTGGAAGTTCTGTTCAGCTTCTATTTTCACAAGTCATTTAGCTTCTGATGCGGTAAGAAGAGTGCTCTGACTGAGAGTCTGTGTCTGTTCTGTGTAAATTTGACAGCTTTTTAGTCCCAGGATTCTTTCAGGTTTTTGACAACTTGAACAAACGTGAGGATTCATAACCTACTTCGTGATGTACATACACATTAAGTTACAACCATGAGCTAAGGTGATTAGTTGCTGCTGTCTGTGTCTACCTGCTGATGTGTACATATAATATTTGTGTGTTTGTATGCATAAAAGAGAAAGTGTGCAAGTTTTTATGTCATTGTATTATTATGTCGCCTTAAAAGTGAGAGAAAAAGAGGAAGATAGAGGCAAGAGGAAGGTTTTTGAATTGTAACTGATGGTGCTTCCTTTGTCATATATGTTAAGACTGTGATGAATAGTTGTCAGTGACTAATGAATGTTCCCTGGGTTTGAAATCCTGGAACATCTTTGTATTTGATTATTAAGATACCCATCTTGCATATTTATGTCATCTTGGAATGCTTATAGCACGAATCAGGTTTTATTTTTTTTATTTTTAAAAATTTACCAGTTGGCCAAAAGAACACTTGTATTACTGCCATTCTCGTGTTTTTTCTTTTTCCTCTTACTGAAAAGGTATGACGAAAAATGTGCACAAGAATGTTGAGGAAAAAAAAGAAAAAGATTTATGATATGTGGGATTGGACATTGGCTGATATATATTGAAATTATATTCTAAGAAAGAGTAGGAAGGATCCGTGAAATCAGCTGTCCTATGCTGTATAACAATTTTCTCAACGTTCTGGCATAGCTCAAATCTAGAAAAGGAGAGGTAAATGAGGGCTATTTTTTAATCTCTATTCAGCCATTTTTATTATACTGACTTATACTTTCTTGATATTGGAAACACATTGTATATTATGTGAAACTAAGCAGGCAGCTATTCAGCATCTGGTATGAGGTTTTTACTAGGTGAATGCTGGATATTCTTCGATGTACATATTCCATCATACTAATCAACATTAATTCTGTCCCTCTTTCTGCTCTTTGTTATGTATCTTTTTAAAGCCATGCCCATGGTTTTGACTGGGTTTCCTCTCTGTTCCTACTTATTCACTCTCAGTGTATTTTACCTGCTATGCTTAGCTCGGGAGGAGTAGTTTCGGTTTCTCGTGCAGGTGATCAGTGGGCACTTTATGGTCTTTTTCTTCTACTTTTTTTCCTGTTTAATTTTGATTCTTCTAGTTTGTTTCTGGAGAAAAATAACTATCACCACTTAAGAACATGTCAGCTCAGGCTTTGAATATTATAACTGCTTTCATTTTATCACAAAGATTCTGAATAATTCAACTGATCAATAATTATTTTTGTAGTGCTGAAAATTATAGCTTTTCTTTGAAGTGGACTAGTTTCTATGGATTTGCATTGTGCTTGTTACCAGTCTCACTGTGCCCTATATTATAGTATATCTTATACTACGAGTTATGTAGTTTGTCAACAGATTTTTTCCCCCGCTGTTTTTAGTAATGATATGCACTCCAGCATGCCCCTGTCATTTTGTTGTTGTGTGTATGTTTGTATGTTTTGTGTGTGTGTGTGTCTGTGTGTTGTGTGTGTGTGAGTGTGTGTGTGCCCGAGTGTACATATTTGCGGTGTGCGTGTGCGTATAAACAGATGATTGTAGCATTTATAAAACTGTAATGTAGTTTTGGTGTGCGATCAGACTCCCAAGATTTAACAGAGTTTGATGGTGTAGTGTGCCGTCTGTCGTGATAAGATTTTATTTGCATAGACAGAAATGATAACAACAGGCAAAGAGTGGCAAGTGAAATGTGAAGTGGAAATCATATTTGTTGACCAAAATGTTGTGCCATGTTCCGAAATCAAGATATCCAAAATGCTTTTACTGAATTTACTGATAATGTGTTGTGTGACCTTTCAAAAAGTTATAGACCTTTAAAGTGAAGCATCCTTCTCTGTCTTAGTCCATTTCTGTTTTGTCTTTACCTTATATTTGTTGATCTTTCCTCTTTTTCTTTTTTTTTTTAGCTCTCTCATACCTTGCATGTAGCTAGAGGGTACCACTGGTATGTCCTGCTTCCTTTCTTCCCCCCGTCTGTCTTTCTTACTCTTTCTTTGCACTAAATGATCTTTATTGTGTAGATGCACTTCTCATTATGTGGGGGAAAAAAACAAATAATCTTTGATACCTTCGTTTCACTCAACTGATTTTATATATTGTAAGTGTCAGCATTACTTTCTACTAGTTGTTCATTGCCCACATTCCCCATGAAGTTTTGATTTGAACTGTTCCACAGTTTAGCTTAAAATTATACCTCTGTGTTCTTGTTGTAATATAAACATTATTATTGTTATTCTCTGGGTTTTTTTCTGTCTTCTTCTTTTGAATATATTATTTTCATCATTGTCATTGTTAATGTTGTTATTACTATTAATGTCGACTGATATCTTTGAACTGTTTTAGAAAGCAAAGTGTGGAAATGGATGTGTACGAATTATTTCACTTTTGAGGAAGAACACATGGAGTCACAGCAGCTGTAAACATGTTTGTTTTATACAATTCACACGCCAATACCGATTTCTTGTTGCTGATATAAGAATGTGGAGTGAGCAGAACCATATCATCAGATTTTGTCTGTATTTCTTTTATCCTGTTGTAAATACTGTACAAAGAGTAATAATACTCATTGATGGCCAAAATGTTGTGTTTTTTTGTTGTACTTATTGCATTTTTTTTTTCTTAACAGAAAATTGGTCTTCACTTCACTTTTTTTTTGCCATTTGCCAAAACTGATTGTTCGGCAGGCCTGGAAAAATGCCATGCTCTTGTACATGTAAATACCTTTGATTAGTTGAATGCTGTCACACTTCTCTTGTTGCTTGCTACAATATACTGTTTTGGATAATTTTGATTCCTCAAAATCCAACTGAGTTGAAGTTGCTAAAAGAGTATAGTTTAAAAGTTGCCACTGCTGCTGACATGGGTTCTGCTTTGAGGTATGACTTTCTTGCATTTCTATCTTTTAAAGGGCAAAGTCAATTATGACTTTTGGGCACCTTTTGAGGTGTCAGATAGTAGTCGTAATACCAACAAATGCTCTGCATAGGTTGTTTTTTTTTTTTAGTTCAGTAAGAGTTTTACAGTGCTCGCAAATGCTAAAGGTCATATGAGCACTCGAAACACAAGTTGGTTGCATTCGCAACAGTTCACACCATGACTTGGTTTTAGTCATCGATCAGATTAGATGGTTACAAATTTTACGGTAAAAATTTCAAACTTAAATAATAACAATTTTCATTTTTTGGATGCCTTTTTTTATGGTGGTAAAAAGAATGATACCAAATACAAATTTAACGACTAGAAAGTTGGGAAGGAAGGTCTATTTTTTGCGAGTGGTATTTTTCTTATACTGTCAAAAATTGATGTTGGCAGGAAAGATTTGGGGGACATGGGGTTGATAGTAGAGAGGATAGTTGTGCAGTGGTTCAACTGTTGTAAAAGATTTTGAACTGTGAAATTTTCTCGCAGGACTTTAATCATTAGTGCCCATCTGTAATAGAACAAGGACTCCACCAAGCTGTCTAAGCAATTTCAGTGCTTTGAACCGTTGTCGCTCTGTGAAGCATAAGGTCATGTTTCCTGCAAAGCACGTTATTCTGGCCATGACTGGGGTATAGTAATAGATATAAATGTATGGATTGTATAATTCTGGAGCAAATTGCAAAAAGTGTTGAATTTTGTGGTTGCTTTTTTTTTCTTCTCAGAATGCTTTCATTTGTTCATGTTGGTTTTAGTTTTCCCTTTTATGCCTCTTTCTGTCTCTATGAGTTGAAAGTCACAAGTTATGTAACAGCCCTGTACAAAAGATGGTAAGTACATAATTTGAAATGTTTCACTTGTAAAGTAGTTGCTGTTCCTGTCATCTGTTGTTTTGTTTTTAATGCAAACAATTTTTAGAAAATTGTGAGGTAATTGAAAGTGAAGCTTTTGCTTTTATTTATATAAACTCCACTTTTTCTGTGCCCCAAAGATAAAATCTGAGTTTATCCCATTCATAATCATATGTGGTAGTAACGAAGATTGACAAAACAAACAGTTTGTGCTGCTTGCTGTCTTTGAAATATATGCATTTTTCCTTCCTACACTGTAAGCCTTGCATCCAGCGACTTTGGATTAGTATAGGGCAGACATGATTAGTCCAATATGAAAATACTTGTCATGTTAGACCTATCTGTCACAGAAATCCAGGATACCGTGAATGCTAGGTTCAGACCTGAAAATTTCTTTTGATGTAAGGTTTGCTGTATAAAAAAAAAACAGCACAAAATGTTCAGTCACCATGGAAGCTGAGATAAAAATATGATATCTTTTGTTTTCACGAAAATGGATTCTGTGCGGACCCAATTTTTGAAAGATCATGAGAGGACTCCTGAACAAGAGTGCTTAGGTTTTTTGGGTTTAAAAAAAAA